ATTACAAGCATCACTGGCCACAACCTTTCGCCATACTGCACTGAATATATTCCAAAAGAAAACACACAAAACGATGTTGTTCTTGGGCGCGACTGTGAGCAAAATTATTTTCCTTAAATGTATGGGATATTTTGGATGCATTCAGAGATAACGGCGTATATTATGTGATCATTTTTCATTTAATCTGAGAATATTGATTGGATTATGTCAGTTAAGCTTACTAGTTCATAATTTGGGTATGTCTTTTCCAATCTCTACATGTTAAATTTGTGATTTTCATGAGAATGTAAGAATAAAAACTTTTTACTCATTAACGTTATACCCTTTGTTTTAAATCTATATAGATTTTAGAAAAATGGCCAAAAGCAATGATGGATCTTTTCAGCAATGTTATTGACATGCTGGCCCTGGTAGATATTTAGTTCAACTGTCAATTGTAACTCATTTGTTCTGTGCAATAGAACAAATACAGGCCCAATAAAGACAAGGATTTAATGGAAAAAGCCTTTTTATTATTTTTCAATAACTTTTTTTTAATTGTTCATTCATTTATTATTGTTTATAGATAGATATAGGTGGATATCATTAGAGGTTATGTCTTACTGCTCCTGTCGTTGCAAATTCTGTATGGTATTATTATTATTATATTCAAAAAGATTTTATGTGCTATAAATATTTTTTTCGTCTAAAAATTGTTTTGGAGTAAATGCAAAGCATGTCTCACTCTTCATAATTTAACCACGGAAATAGATACAGGTATTGACGGGAATGCGGTTGGAGATTTTTTCATCTGATTGTCTATTATCTCTTTTGTCCGATTCATTGGAATTGGGACCGAATGAAAGAATATACTCTGGCAACATCGCGACATGCGGTTGATGTCCCCGGCTCCGCAAGCAGGTACCTTTTTCCATCCGTCACTTGTCCAGGCGCGTATTCAAGCCCGCGGTCGCGACAGACTGGTCCGAACTCGAGATTCTCTTCTGAATTCTTGAGTATGACCGTCTAACAGCAAAAAGTCTGTCGTCATGACAAGATTTAACAAGAAATTCTCCAAAATGGATCTCCCACCATCGGTGTTCTTTTCCGAAACATTCACTCGCCAACATTTAGTTTCCATCAATTTGTTGTTCTTTTAAACAATGCCTAAAAGACAAATGCGCCCGTCAAAGTGTCGTGTAATGCTCTTGTGAATGATAGAGAAATAGAGCTTTCTCTATGTGAATCCCTCAGCGGTATCATGATCAAGATGCGAAAACTGTAAGTACTCTTTTTCGTCTTGCATGTATGTTAGATGACAACCTAGGGTTCAGTATCTTCTGAGCAAAGAAACTGCAACGTAGCTAGCATTATTAGACTGTGAACAACTAAAATACCAATTTTAAAACACTGTTTTTGTCATCGACACTTTTGCTGCATTTTATATTGTTCATTTTTTTGTGTAACATTAACAGGGATGTGGCGATAAACGCGATTTAAAACAAGGATTGTGCAGTGCTCTATTGATTATTTTGCAAAAAATATATCTGAAGCTTTATCGCCTGCCTAATTTGAAGCCACATTCATTGACTTGCTTGGCAGTAGATGATATACTACTACTACATCCAGGGATAATAGATTCTAGCTGATGGCTCTTCTATAATAAAAACGCTTTCCTCTATTTTAATAAACATGCTTTAGCTATAACATTCCCTTCTTACTGATTTTGGTTCTTTAGGAACGACTAATCGTAATCGCAAATAACTAGCGAGGGTCAATCATTTTCGCCAAGTACCACTCTGTCTTTTCGCCAGTCGACGACGTTGCCAAATCTTTAACCGGATTCATCATGCAATTTCGTATCGTATTGCGAAATATGACTTATTCTAAACATCCTGAAGTAAAACAATTAATTTTTTGACATAAAAATGCAAAATGAACCAAAAATTGCTGGTTTTTAGAGAATAGACCAATGGAAGTAGACTTCATCAAATATAAGAATATTATTATAGACCTCCATTGGTAAAAAGCATAGTTATTTTTAGATATAAGAAGTGAACAAAACGGCTCCTCAAATAGTTAACATTCGAAATTTATATCAAGTTTTGGTTTTTTGATCCAACATCAGAAAAAAACTGTAAAACAAAGATTGTATCTGTACAAATTGGATAATGCAGTCGAAATTAAGGAATGCTAGATTTTATAGCACTAATTTGACAGCTCTTCAGCAGTTTAAGAGGTGAATATGCAAAGTTATCCAATAAAATAAGTTAACCTCAAGTACGTCAACTTAGCCTTTTGCTTCAATTTGATTTTATACAGGATTACTTGAGGGTTTGAGTAAAGGGATGTTTCAATACCCCCATACGTCCTAATAAACAGACATACTTCTGCAATCCCCGCGGGAACAAGCCTCTGTAGATAATTTTTACATTTTATACGTCAAAGAAGTCCGAGATTCGGTTAGTTGTGGTAAATATGCATCGCCGGGACAAACCGCTCTGCTTATTGATGTGTGCAATAGATGGCGCGGCACGCGGCGTAGTGCAGTTTACGTTCATCGAGCTTGACCACGTGGGCCAGTAGGTGGCGCAGCGCGGACGAAAACAAAAAATTCAGCGAAAATCGTGATCCCCCACAAATCGAAGCGCCATTGTTGTAGAGAAAACCTGCTGGTTGGTTACGAGAGATTATTTCCGAAAGTGTCAGGCTGTCTTGAACGCGTGCTTGGCGTCAGTAAAAGTTATCAACTATATTTTCATTCTCGTTTTCCGGATATCTTGACTTTTCCGGGCACTACTCGCGACAGTGTTTTGTCTTTTGCGTGGTGTACGAGACTTTTGTGAAACGTTTTTTTCGCTGTGATGTATTTGATAATACGGGACTATCCGTGATCTCGTGTCGAAGATAAGGACTTATTGGTGCTAATTTTGGTTCTAGAGAGGTTTTCAAACTGTCTAAGACGGCTTCAGAAATGGTGAAGAGGTTAGTAACTATTGTTTTCATTTGCCAGTTTCAAGTGTGCCTTGCCATGCTTTGTGTTTTGGTTTATATTCGACAGGTAATTTGATATCAGAAGTAAACTGATATAGCCTGCAATCTATCGGAATTACGTGAATATTCGGAATAAGGACACGAGATTAGATTCAAATAATTGTTGATATCGATTCTCCCTGTTCGATTTATATTTATAAATTAGAAACTTGTAGGGATGCTCATTCATGTATGAACAGGACCGTCTTTTGATGGACAACTAATAATGTCCAATTAGTTTTTATGAATGAATTTCGTATTCCTTGTTTTGCATTAATCTCATGATGTATGTTTTAATCCAACACAATGCAGATTTGGGTCTTTTATGCTATTGAATATTCATTGACAAACCCATAAACAGGGACCATAATGATGTGCATTGCAGCTTAAATGTTGTATCTTAGATGGACTAAATTGAAACACCTTTTTTTATAGAATAAAAGGTGCTTATCATAAGCCTTTGGTAGGTTATCCTTCCTACAGTACACTTTCAACATTTATATCAGCAAAATTCTAAATATAGAAAAAGCTTTTAAGTACTGAACTTAGTGGATTAGTGGAGTGTTATCTGTTTTGTTTGTTATTTAATTAGTACCTAATGTTTAATCAAATTATAATATACTTTGCACTTTGCATGAAAGTGGAACATCAAAAAACATGACAGTTTGAAAATTCGGAAGGTGTTTGAACGGGATATTTTCTTGATTAAAATCTAACATTCGCGCGATGTAGGTCAGAAAAACGAACCTCCCAATCTACTGTTTTTCATTCGAATTTTCTTGAGCTGTGTGAATCTGCTAGAAGAACCAATCCCCAGTTCTTCTGTACTCTGGTACCAAAATGGAAAATACGTCGTACGCCACTGTTACGGCGGCGAGCTTTTGTATCGTCAAAGTTGGTGTGTGGTGTGTTACTCTACTTACGCCTTTACATCTTGTACCAGACTATAATCTTAGGCGCTAATTTGACTATTTCAAAAATTAGTTCAATGATCTTTAATTTATTTATTATATCAGTTGTGGTGCGTCAAATTTAGGCTCTCCCTTCGCGACTACTTCTGGAA